ACAAAAGAAAAATCATAACTTTATTCAATTAATTATTCTGAGTCACATCCTTACATATCTTATTTTAATCACAAAATTTCAGCCTGTGATCACTTCAGTTTTCACCATGTTGTCTGAAGTCTTGGCATTATTCAATGAATTACTCAAACAAGCATCTTTATCTTTATTGTTTTTTTCACTTGGCTCTCTACTCTTGTTAATATTGTGTAAAGTTTTGAAGTAAAGTATTGTCATCATTTCAAGAGTAACTAGGCTTAAAAATCTTCACCTTTGTTGTTTTGATCATTATGTTCCAAATATTCATCCAAATCACACTGAATAATAACAACACTTCACCTTATGACTTCAAACAATATAAAAAAGGTCAGAGATTAGACATGCCAAAATATGATTGAAACAACAAAGGTGAGAATGCTAGTCTGAATAATTCATTGTATAATGACAACACTTCACCTCAAAACTTCATATGCCGTCAAATACGGTAAGTATTTGTTATTTTGATCATTAAATTGTTTTAAAATAGTGGGAGTATTTTTTGTATGTCAAATAATAAAACTTTTAAATTTTCCAAACGCACCCTAGTAAAACCAGTTGTACTTTCTACCCGCTTGGCTGTTTGCACTTCGCACCCAAATTTTGGTCAATGTATGGGTATTTTAGAGGGTGTGACAAACGGACTAACGGAAGTCACAGAATTTATATATATATATATACACACAAATATAGATAACTATACTCGTTTCGAAAAACCCTCGAATTTTTGATTTGCCAATAACGATCCTTTTAGGTGAAACCTAGGTAGGTTTGTCTGGCTCACTAGGTGTATCTATCTATCTATCCATATATATATATATATATATATATATATATATATATATATATAACGTCGTCATCATCATCAACGAAATACTGTTTTCGTTCGTCTTATTGGAAACACATTTACTGGAGTACGATGATGTGATTTTATTGGCAAAGTTTTATTTTTGTTTAAAACCATTGATCGACGGACAAACAGCTTACGTTTAATGGCAGTAGAGCAACTGCTTGAATATTTTTTTCCAGAGGAATATTCAGGTAAGTCTGCTTAGCTTACACAAATTCATGACCTAATAGAACGAGAAAAAAAACCTAAGTGGGGAATAATTTGTGACGGCTAAAAAATCAATATAAACTGCATTGCATTAAAAAAAATATTTTTTTTATTGCATCGAACAAGTCAGAAAACAAATGATATATATATATATATATTATTCAGCGAGGTATAGACAATATATTATTTAGTCTATTGTTTAGATAAAGATAAACTCTACAAGACGAGAAACGAACGGTTACCAAATATTGTATCGGCTTGAAAGAGAATAGACATGTTTGGTTCATAAGTCTCTGTATTTTCTTTAAATGAAAATCAAACCAATGTTTTTTTGTCATTGTACATCGAAAATTATTTGAACTCTGATCTATTCTTTGTAGAGGTGAAATTAATGGCCTTAAAAGGAATTAAAATATATTACTGAATGAAAATGAAATCCAATTGCAAAACTTCTACAAAATTCCTCGTTGGTAGAGTGAATTAACGACGGCAGTGAATACTGGTCGTCTACAGGTGAGTTGATATCATACATGCATTATATATATATATATATGGGTTTCACGCTTTAGCGATCGTCAGACAAACTGATTAATATTTTAAAAAATTTGGGTTTATGTAGATTGCGTGTATTGGTGTTATTGTGGAAGTGGTGGGGGAAATTTTGTCGTTTTGTCATTCATCGTACTAACGCAAACATCGATGTATGCAGACACATATACGTACTTGGTCGTCCGTCGGGACTCATACATATATAAACATATGTGGGCAGTTTCGGCTATGACACATGTATGTATGTCTCGAAATAAACAACGCCCTTTTTTTCTCACAGATGTATACGGGTGGTGTTATGTCTATACATACGCATTTGTATGTTGAAATTTAAACATTGGAAGTGTGGCGGTAATGTCTCGTGAATGTATACATGTCATATTATGTATTTTCCCTTGAAACATTACTATCACATCATATCATATAGACCCGTTATTAAATTGAACTATCCTCTCACCCAACACATTGAATATCAAACTAAACATCACCATATAAATTAACCAATAAAGATTACAAATTTCTACCTGTTACATATACACAGTGACCAAAAACAAAAAGTAACCAGCTTTAAATATAACAAATAAACCACATTTTTTTTTCAAAAATTTAAAAATAAATATAAATAATAATAATTTTTACCTATCATAATTTTACACAAACCCCACCACACGTATATACATACATGCGAGGAAATATTTTTCAGCGAAAAAATACATAATATGACATGTATACATTCACGAGACATTAACGAGACATTTCCGCCACACTCCCAATGTTTAAATTTCAACATACAAATGCGTATGTATAGACATAACACCACCCGTATACATCTGTGAGAAAAAAAGGGCGTTGTTTATTTCGAGACAAATATTTTTGTGTTCATTATTTCTAAAGACAAAATTACTACCTGACTTCACTTTCCAGTCTCGATAGTGCAAAACCGTCATGTGACGTACAGAGGTTTTATGATCCCCGGGCCGAACTCCTTGATTGTATGCCACCAAGACTCAAGTAGATGTCCACTTGGGCCTCGTACTAAGAAATCTGAGAAAGGAAGACATTTTAAATATGTAAAAACAGATGAAACGTAAAATAAGCACTTTATTCAAATTAAATATAAACTAAATTTTTATTTTATTCTTTGATTGGATGCCCTTTCGATACGGATGCTCGGGCGGACGTACTCTCTGCTCCCCCACTTCTGTACGCTACTGCTTATGAGTGATGAATTATTTTTCACCATAAACCCCTCTCTCACAGACAGAAGCGTCGCAAGGCCCACGCTACACTATTGTTCTATCCATGGAAAGTGTTAAAAAAAACAAAAAAACGGATGTATTAGGTTGGTGCAAAAATAATGACGTAACAATATATATTTTTTTGACCTTAAAAATACGTCAAAAAACGACATTATTACGTCATTATTTTTGCACCAACCTAATACTATAGCTTCACCAGTTTTAACCTTCGCATCTAAGACCCACCATGCAGCGAACCCTCACTCCCTTCCTATCCCGTTTACTGAGATGTAAGTTCCCCTCAAGCATATTCTTCCTCGAAACGTGGCTCTGTGGAATCGACTCTGAAGAGAATGCTTCCCCAATCCTTACAATTTTAACCTGCTCAAATCTAACCTTTATCTCCCCACATATCCGCATAAAATATACCACTTACTTTGTAAACACCTACCTGAAGGGCCTTGTACAGGGTGAACATCCTTGTAAGAAAAAAATCGTATAACCCAGTTACAGCTTTAAGTGGAAATAATACACTTTTTTTTCTGATCGGATTTCGATTCTACTTCTTAGCTGATACTATTAGCACAAAATATTCTGTCCTTCGTAACTGACGCCTTTTTTAAAATTTGTATTTGAGTAGAGATATAATTAAGTTCACCATTAATTTCCTGTGTAATTTTGTACGTAAAGATGTGTTTCGCTTTTTTTTTCCTTAAGTGCATTTTGTTCACAAACCAAATGAAATAGAATCAATCTGCATTAGTGTCCGCGTACAATGGCACTATTTAAATAGTAATTAAAACTTGGTATGAGAGAGTCAGAATGTATTATCTTCGTTACTTCCAAGATCTACACCGTCATTGTTCCTGTTTAGCAGACGTTAAAATTTATTTGGATAATTGTTTCCGTGCGAAGTTTGCAGTCAATTTCACAAACATAATAAACGAAGAAAAAGAAAAAATCAAGGAGCAGATTTCCTAGCAAAAAGTTACTTTTAAGATTTTATTTAATTTTTTTTCTTTCATCTGTCAAACATGCGTCATTAATAATAATATCAATTAGTATTTATTGCTTCCTTAAAAGGGGATGTCGTCGCTTCATTAAAAGCCCTTTCAAAACAACTGTCTTTTTTTTAATCATTTCTCTCTAGCAAGACGATAATGCCGATATGGCGCAAAGAGGAGGTTACAGGGAGTGAACAAAAAAATGTGAAGATTTTAGTGAGAAGAAATGAGGAGAAATGACTATAAAGGAACATGATTCCGGAAGACATAAGATGGCGATTAACGTTGGATTTAAATCTTTCGAGATTGTATATTGGCACGGGGAGGAGTCGATTCAGAAGTATTCCCGAGACGATCTTAGCAGTGATGCTTAGGGAGTGGAGATGCAATAATGATTTCCGCAGAGTGAGCGGTCTCCTTTTTTTTTTAAGGTCGTCACAATGTTGGCATTTTTAAAGTCCACCATAGGAAAAACTATTTAATCTTTCCAAATTTTTTGTTATAAAGAAGCATGAGCCTGGTTTTCAGTTCGCGACCACCATAGGAAAAACTATTTAATCTTTCCAAATTTTTTGTTATAAAGAAGCATGAGCCTGGTTTTCAGTTCGCGACCACCATAGGAAAAACTATTTAATCTTTCCAAATTTTTGTTATAAAGAAGCATGAGAAAAATTTTTTCAGTTCGCGGCCACCATAGGAAAAACTATTTAATCTTTCCAAAATTTTTTGTTATAAAGAAGCATGAGCCTGTTTTTTCAGTTCGCGACCACCATAGGAAAAACTATTTAATCTTTCCAAATATTTTTTGTTATAAAGAAGCATGAGCCTGGTTTTCAGTTCGCGGCCACCATAGGAAAAACTATTTAATCTTTCCAAATTTTTTGTTATAAAGAAGCATGAGCCTGGTTTTCAGTTCGCGACCACCATAGGAAAAACTATTTAATCTTTCCAAATTTTTTGTTATAAAGAAGCATGAGCCTGGTTTTCAGTTCGCGGCCACCATAGGAAAACTAATCCAGCGGCACAGTGTTGGGTCCGGGATGATTTTCAGGCTTCACGGTGCTGTGTGCTTTTTTTAATTCCCGTTGTGGGGTGTGAAATCCAGTGCCAGTTCGGGAGTTAGGGTCTTCCGCAGGGAGGTCTTCCGGCGTAGTGGCGTGGTCGTTGAGAAAGCCCTGGAAGTGGTTTTCCCAGCGGTGACTCATATCCCGTTGGTTCGCATATAGTTGGATTTACGCTGCGTTTGCCTGCTGTCATGTGTTCTGGATTGTGCGTAGTCGTTTTGGGCACATTTTGTTGCCTCCTGATAGATCTTTTCAACTGAGAGGGGGTGGAGGTTCTCGGAAGCCATGCGTGCTTCTCGTTTTTGATTGATCAACTGGTCAATTTCTTCCAAATGCTCGTTGAATCAGTCCTATTTTTTCCCTTTTCTGAAACTCAAGAACTTCTGCTGATGATGTTCCTGCAGTGCGCAGGGATGACCTTTTTACGTTGATGGTCTCCGTGTCCGATTAGTCGTTGAGGTTGTTTTCAACGGTTAGTCGAAAGAGCCTTTGGGAACATAGAGCTTCACGCAGTCAAACCGACGGTGAGTCCTGTCTGCAGGAGAATGCCTAAGTGGTCGGGTGAACAGAGATCTTGAGACGTGAGAGCAGAAGACGATGGTCTGTCCGGCAATCATCTACTCCAAGCAATAGAACCGGTGATGTGGACATCTCTTTTGTCCAGGTATCGAATGAGGACATAGCCAAAAGTCTTCCAATTTTGGGATCTTGAATGCTGCCATGTTGTTTTGTGCCGGTTCGGGAGTTAGAACAGGGTATTGGTCACGGCCAGGTCATGTTCTGAGCAGAGACCGAGAAGCAGGTGTCCGTTCGCATTGCAGTTGACAATACCATGGTGACCGTAAACGCTCTTCCATGTACGGTGATGACGGACAACTTTGGTGTGGAATTATCCAAGAGCCACGATTTTATCCAATAATCGGTTATTTCGGATTATTGAGTCCAAAAGGCCGTAGAAGGAATCTTTGATGGCGTTGGTAAGCAATGGTAGGTGTATAAACGAAGATAAGAGTAAGGAAAGTACCATGGTTGAATGGGATCAGGAGTGTCATCAAACGCACACGCTATAGTTGATTGGATTCATCGATATATCAATTAGCGTCTAGAAAAACTTAAAGATTAGTGATTCTAAGGTGGGAGGTTACGCTATAGACTCTCAAGGGAAAGGGAATAAAGTGTTCGGGGGAGAAAGAAGTTTGTCTATATTTCCGATATGATGTATTATGTAAACTATTTACATTAATCGGACTGTTCTAGTTCCACGTGCCATGTCTAATGGATGTCAGTTATCAGTTATCTCCTGTGTCTCCTTAAGGACACATGACACAGTAGATAAATGTGTTGGTTATATCCAGCGACAGGACTCCTAGAGTTCAATATCAGGTTAACGCTGTTGAGAACTTAGACAGGTGAATTAACAGGAGATAACTGATAACTTCCATTAGATGTAGAACTAGAACAGTGTACCCCAGCGAGCGAAATAAAGGGTTCAGTTCGACATTCCAACCACCTGAAGAAGGCCGGAGCGTACAACGGCCGAAACGTTGTGATAAATATGGCAACAAAGATGAGGACAATAGTCCGAATAATGTAAATAGTGAGAAAGAAGTCGCTATAATTTTAATAGCGTTGTAAGATATTCCAATCCCTTGAACCCAGATTAGACCAGATTAAGACATTTCATATACGCATTCTTCTATTTTTCCTATATATTCACATTTTTAGACGTATTTTAAATATTCAGTTGTAATTGCCATATGAGTATAGACCAAAAAACGCATCCTGCGAGTTAATATTTTTTACGGCCTAACTCACTCAGCTAACAAAATCTAATTGCTGCAATGTTTCTGCAACCTTACAGAAGGGTTGTATGTGTTTTTTTTATGTTTTATTCATTTGGTAGACTCCTTTTATGTTAAGAGCCATGAGTTTTCTAGGAATTGATAGTGGAGTGGTTCCCGTTACCTTCTTCACAGTGATATATTGAGACATCACCTCTAGTTAACTGGCCGTTAACTCATTTTGAGTTCTTCTGCCATTTGATAGGTTTTAGTTTTCATCCTACAGGATTACTAGCAGTCCTCCTCATTCACAAGGAATTGAAGTGGGGTACAAATTTAGTCACCAGCTATTCAATAATACCATACAAATATCTTTATATACTTACTTATAAACACGCCCAGTGTACACACACATTCATACATGCATATCAACATGCGGTTCTATAGAAAGAGGTTGAGAATGTACCAGGCATGTGAACAACGGCGAAGTTCTAAAGACAATGGCAATAAAATAGACACTGTCCCCAGCAATGCTTACTTCCGTTGGGTGTAGCACTTATAACGCGACAAAATTTAAACAAGTGATATTAACACTCTGTTCCATTGAGTTATGAAATTTTGGCGAACTTGAGCCTTCGTAATCGAAAAAAAAAAAAAAAACAAAACAAAAAAAAAAAAAAACTAGTGCCAAAAAGACGTTATTAAAACAATTAACATTTCCGAGGGAGTGAAGGTAGTTAAAATAATAGCGGTGTCAGACTAAAAAACGTTCTTTTGACCCTTCATTTTTTGGCGGGCACGATGGTCGAAAATTGCCGAAATTTTAAAACAGGGGAGGCTGTCCATTGCAAATATCTGAGCAGGGGCGCTAGAGAAAAAGTAAAAAAAAAAATGTTACGGACAACCACCTCAGATAAACACGGAAGTTCAATTCGTAAACTGGGACATGAATATTTTAGTTCATCCGCGCATGCTCAATAGGTGTCTAAATCACGTGAACATTTTAAGCTGGTACAGGTCGCTTGAAGTAAGTCTGGAGATAAATATAAGTTTGTTTGTTTTTTTTTTCTTCTTTAATCCATTAAACAACGAATTCAGACGAGTATTTCTGAATATTTTCTTTTTTTATTTTTGAAAGAACCATTAATTGCTATTGTAAATAAACAAAAACAAAAACTACCCGAGGCTTCCCAGATATAAAAACAAAAAGATCGATGCCAGTAGCAAGAACGCCTTCGTTAGAACAGAGAACAAATTACTAAGCATGTACATATTTAAAGGCGTATCAATGTAAAGACATATTCATAGACTGATTACCCACACTCAACGCGTTTATTGCCGCGTACACGCAACTGACAAAATTTAGTTTGAGCCAACATTAACATTTATATATAAGCTAAGAAGACACGTGAAAATTTCACGATTTTCCTATTTTAATATTCTGATAAATCTTAATTTTTAAGTTAATGATTGAGTAAGATCGTATCGAGTTCTGCGGCAATAAAATATCCGTAGAGATTCCCCTATGGTATCGTTACATATTTCAGCTTACCAACTTTAACAAAATATTGCAACAAAAATCATAAATATGAACTCTGGTCGTTATTTTAAGAAGTGGGTACAACTTTTCAATGCGTTTTGATAATCATATGCTCCGGAATAATCATTTAATGTGGGGCCAAACATTCCTAGTAGACCCCGTATAAAACGGGATCAGGTAGCTGTTTCCCGAGAAGCGACTCTGCTCTTCGACATATCATCGGCTGTTGGTCCTCTCTACTCGGAGAGTTTAAATATGTTTATAATGTACGCAATGTTTAGTGTTTGAGTAGACGTCTCTGTTTTTTGAAACAGTAGAACCTTCGTCTACTGGCCTGGGCTTTTCCGAAGTTCTGCACCCTCCTTTTGCAAGGGAAATAACCGTATAGCCAGGTGTGATTTAAACCGCTAAGCCACGAAGGACGTCATCGCAAAGAGATGTTCATGATTTTAGTCATCAAGGAAAGCGCATGTCTCTTTAACAGCTTCCGGAACCCATACATGATTAATTACTTCCTTAAACAAATTATTTCGTTTACGTTTCGGGCACCAAAATAAACTCCTTGCCTGAATGTCACTCAAAGTTAGAAGGGTCAGTCTACCCTGCTCTTTAGCACATCGTTTCGAGGAGGGGAGGACAGATGGATTCATGACTAATATTTGTGCGAAAGTGAACGCAACAGAATCTAAATGGAAATTGAATTGGTTCGCCTATTCCAATTTCGGCGACGCTAAGCACTCTTTGCGCTACCCACACACCCTTCATATATATATTTGCTAGACAAGAGATTGAGAACGTTATTTCTATACACCCAGATGACGCTCAGGCGTAACGTCGCTTACGAAAGGCCATTCTTGCGGGATGGTACACGCACAATGACGATGACTCTTTCCATTTTCATGTTAATCCCGTATGCATTTTCGTCACTGAAAGTATTTGTGACCGGCCATAACTCACCTCGATTAAAAGCCTTCGTCTAATTCCAACGAAAGCGTTAAAATGCACCCTCATCCCACAAAAAAAAAATACATTGAAAGAGAAGGCATTGCGAATACATAATCTCTATTTCCCAGAAGAGAGTTTCGGATCTGGAAATCGTTTTGAACTGGCAGCAGGTGAAGCTGAGTCATTTAGGCAAGATGGCCGCCTAAGCAGATTTTTATTTCTTTATTCTTCCTGAACATGTTTTAAGTATAATATAATCGAATTTGTATTTCTGCCGGTACATTGATGGCATTCAATGAACAGTTTCGGTTATCTTCATATTTAAATTCTGTACTGATTAGTTTTTTTTTCTCTGACTTTGATATGAGTGACTGTAAACATTCTATGAATCATCATTAATAAATGTTTTTCTTATTCACACATTTTGGGGATTCAGATGTTGGGATGAGTTGCTTTTAATTGTTCGTTCCTTTTGGACGACGATTCTCTTTGATATATTATGAGTTGTTAATATTCGTTTATTTACTGACAACGGAGCCGTTTGAAGTTTACACATGGACAGTTTTGTTGGGCTAGGTTTTTGAATAGTTTAAGATTCATTTTTTGTCAACGGAATGACGTCAACAGAAACAAAACAGAAAAAATATAGACTAATTTGAATTTTCATGACATTAAGCAATTTAGCCGATGCAAACTTTTCATTCGTTGACACACACACATATATATTTGGTTGGATAGATATGAGTTTGTGACCTTGGGTTTCACGCTTTAGCGATTTGTCTGACGATCGCTAATGCGTGAGACCCAGGGTCACAAACTCACATCTATCCAACCAAATATGTTAGCTCTATCTCTGATATTGAGCGCTTTCTAATAAGTACCGCGCATACAATATATATATATATATATATATATATATATATATATACACAAGTATAGGATTGGTGTATACGGAATAAATTCCAATAATTAAAGAAATACTATTCTTAG